CATACGACGAAGGCCACATCGTCGGCGTATCCCCATACACGTGCCACAGAGCCCCTGAGAGCAGCGATTAAATCATCCACTACAATGGACCACAGGAGGGGCGAAAAAACTCCGCTCTCCGGACACCCTTTTGCAGCGGAGATGAAGAGTATATCGTCAGCTATGGTGGACTTAATAATCCTATTTTGTGGCATCCCATTAACCCATATGCTAGTCGTCGCATCAATCGCTCGTTTGTGCAACGACTCACTGATGGCATGATATGGGGTGTTGTCAAAAGCTCTCTCTATATCAAGAAAGCAGCCAAATGCCACCTCCCGCACTTCCAGTGAGTTTTCGAGGACCCCCACCAGACTCTGAATGCGAGTACGGTACACTTTTCCGACTGATAGGCGTACTGAGATTCATGCAAGGGATTGGTTTCCAGTGTATCGTCCCTTATAAATCTATCAATCACTTTTTCCATTGCTTTCAATAGAAAAGAAGTAAGGCTGATTGGACGGAAAGACCTTGGGTGGTTGCTTCGTCGCTTACCCACCTTCGGAATATACGTCACTTTAGCGATCCTCCATGCCTAAGGGATGTAACCCCACGCATAGCTGGCACGAAAAATTTCCAACAGTGCTCTGGCGATATGTTGGAAACCCCTCTGCAAAAATGCAGGATATATCCCGTCATCACCTGGAGATTTAAAGGGCTTGAAAGAGAAAACAGCCCATCTAATCCGGCCCATCGTGAAGACCAGACGGGTCGTTGCCAGTCATCCCTCCTGGACCAGGATGCCCTCGGTTCAATGACCGCATTTGAGTGATTCCGAAGAATCTCCGAGTCAGGAAAGTGCGTTGACGCCATAAGCTCCAGCGTCTGCTTTCCGTTCTCAGTCATGGAGCCATCAGGCTGTTCCATTAGGCCCAACCCGCTAGCATACTTTTTTGAAAGCATCCTGTGAAGACGCGCACTGCTGGAGAGTTCATTAATGCCCTTGCAGAAAGCCCTCCACGAAATTCTCTTCGCTTTCCTAATTTCTTTATTGTATTTCGTGAGTGAGTTTTTATACACATTATATAAATTCAAGTAAGCACTCACCTTTTTTGTTTATATTACTGCTTCCCCAGACGGTGTGGTGGGCATTTGCATCACTTCCTATTATAAGTTGGAAGTTCCTCCTTCCACAAAAGTCCACTAGATCCTTCAGTTACTCGTTGAGGTCGGCACAGTCTCCCGGGAGGTAAGATGAGCACACAATGAATTCTGTCCAACCCCCGGAAGACTTCACCTTCACCAACGCAGCTACCTGATCCTTAGAACAGTAATCTGGAATGAACTCAACAACTAATAAATTAATTATTTCTTTCTGCACGGTATTAATATTTTTAAATTTTCCATTATACTAAAATCTCCAAAACTTTATTGAAATTAAAAAAAAATTTTAATATAAGTTAATAATTTTAATACTTTTATTTATTAGTAAACCTTTTCAAAATACACGCCAAAAAACATATAATTTAAAAAACGTCTAAAAATGTCAAAATAATATTGCATCAGCAAGGTAAACGTATCACATCGGTATACCATTAGCAACTTTTTTTTGCATCAACGCTGCATTGTTGCACATTTTTGATCACTTTCCGATTATACCCACTTATTAATGAATTCGCATCGGATCATCATTTTCTCTCATTTTTGTTCAAAAAGTATTACCCTAAACGCTTTGCATGCAAAAATTTTGTAAAGTTTTTAAAAACTTTCGTATATACCGAACAGACTTTTAATTATTGAGGTTCACATTTTGTTGCGTGTGATACGATACAAAAATAAAATAATGAAGGGATTATAAATACATCAACAGCGACAAATACTTTTTAAAAGCTTTTTCCCATTCACGTAGTATACCACCATTTATCAGTTGATATTGTTCTTATACTAGGGGATGTAAATTGAAAAAGAGAAAAAAGTCTTGAAAAGCGAAAAAGAATTCGTTTACTTTTTATTTCGTCTATTGAAAGCTTTCTTATAATTTAAAATAGTTTAATTATCATAGTTTTAATGTCTTTATATCTAACAAGTCCCAATGCTAAGAGAGAAACTTGAAAGCACGATCTTATTTTATATGGGTTTTTTTAAATCGAAGTAGCTATTTTTTGAGAAGGAATATTAAAATAAATTCACACTTATTATAAAGCAGGTAAAATTTCGGAAATATATTTGAAAAATCAAGAAAATATATTAATATTTTCATGCATAATTATTTTAAAATTCTTGAAACAGCGGAAAAACAACAAGCACAATCTTGACCTTCAACGTTTTATATGTTACTGAAAGCATTTCATTATTTTTAAGTGAACAGCTTTTTTTTCTCATAGGGTAAATTAACTCAAGATATGGAAAGTAACTGTGGTATCAAGTTGAAAATATAATTAATGAAAGGTAATTATTAAATATTGATATGAATACATAGTAAAGAAAAAATTTGAAGAGAGAATTAGAAAATAATATAAAATACAATCAAATATTATTTTTTAAATACAAATTTTATATACACTTCTAAATTTAACTTCTACTTTTGAGGAAAATTTTTAAAACTTAATATATTACCTATGTAAGTAAAAAAATATTTATAAGGTTTTGGAAAACACAATAATATATTTTTATGACCGGATTCGAATATCTTTTTTATTTTTGAAATAAATAGCAAATGACTCAAAAACTCCGATTGTAAAATGACAAGTAGTAGGTACTGATATTCGTAAATTTTTGTCCGTTTGCGTTTACTATTCATACACAGGCAGGGCCATTTTATAAATAGATTGCCCTTGTTTACCTGCTCATAAAATATTAAAGAAGAGCACAACAAAATTTTTGAAGCAATCAATATAACATGTTTGAAATAGTTTTAAAATAATTATTTAAAAACAAATTTATTGGAAGTAGGTACATACATATTTATTTTTAATAACTTAAAAACTAACTGAAATTATTTGAAACAATTTTATAAGTAACGTATAAATAACCGAAATGAGATAATTCAAATTGTAGAAATGTGTCAACCCATATTACTTTTATTAGCATTTTTGTTAGCCGACACTACTTAACTTACATTATTGGGAAATACAAAATGTGGATGAAAAATCATACATCCTTCCTCATTAACATTTGAAACCATACTGAAATATGAATTTGAAGTTTTTTTCATTTTTCTTTCCTTTATAGAGAATTTAAATGGGAAGCTTTTTAAAAAATATGTATAATATCCTGAGATTTTTTAAAATATTAAACTCTTTTTTACGTAAAAAAAAGAAAAAAATAATAAGAAATATGACACGATCAGTAGCATTTAAAGAAAAAAACAGGAACGAAGCCAAAAATTCGTAATATTTCGTAAAAAAAATTGAGTATTGGGACTTGTTAGATGTAAAGACATTAGTAGCGTTTAAAAAAAAACAGGAACGAAGCCAAAAATTCCTAATATTTCGTAAAACAAATTGAGTATTGGGACTTGTTAGACGTAAAGACATTACTTATGGGATCTATAGAGAGCCCTTTTTAACATCATAAGTCTCCCACAAGATCAATTTTTTTTTAATTTTTAATTAGAAAATGTTAAAATTGAATCTTTTTCTACTTCACTAGTGTTAACATACTTAAAGTTTTGTGTTATTAAAACATTAAAAAATTAATTAAAAAAACCTTTCAGGTTTCGTTAATTTTTTAAGATTTCAATAAATGCTACATTACAGGAAAAAAAAAATAATGCAATTTTTTTTTCCAAGTATTTAGTTGATTTTAATGTGTTTGAGAAAATACATCAAATTTGAGAAAATGTACATTTGATATAAATGAGTTTGCTAATTTTGTATGATTTTCTCCCAAAATGCATTCTTCTGATATAATCACATATATCTCTATATATTTTTCATGTGTATACTATGTATATTAATAAAACTTATATGCTTCATAATTCATAAACATTATTTCATATGTGAATTATTTTTATATTAAACGTCCACATAACTATTTTTAGGTATGTACATATTATGTGATTTTAGTTTTATTACGAAATATTTTCACATTGTGAAAATGCTAATTCACTGATTTACCTGAACTAACGCTTCAGAAACTTTAAAACTCATACAAGTTTCTTTATAATATTTTTATTATGTTTGCTTTTACACAGAGTAACTTAAAACTGCGCATCTTTTTTTTTTTTTTATTCACTGTATTATCATTTTTTACTCTCAATTCTTTGATATGTTGTTTGACATCGCGCTACAAAAAAAATGCGAAAAAAACTCGAAAGTATATTTAATCAAAATTATAGTTACAATTTTGAGTTGAAATTTGAATTTTTGATATGTTGTTCAGAAAACTCTAAACTTCATGTTAGTATAAAAATTTTTAGGTTTTAGTCAACTTTTCGTATAGAAAACTCGAAATGAAAATATGCAAAAATCATAATTTTTCTAGAAAAACAAAACAAAAAAATTATTCTTCAGATATGTTATTTCGCCAAAAATACACATGCAATTTTAGAAATATATTCACAAAAAAAGCAGGGTCCCGGCCTTGATTTTTTGTAATGTCAAGTATCAAACATAAACAGTACATACATAAAGAAGAAGAACATTTTGGACAGCTAAAGTTTTTAAAATACGAGTACTAAATTTTACTTTACAAAACTTGTAAAAATTTCAAACATTCAAAAAGCAATGACACCATAATTTTCTCTTATTTTCTTTCAGAAAATAATAGATGCTTTGCATACTAAACCTTTATAGTTTTTTTAAATTTTATGAAGTTTTTAAAAACTTTCTTATACCAGACAGAACTTTCATTTACACTTTATCATTAAAATAAGAATTTCAAAAACTTACTTAATTTTTTGATTTTTATATTTTCACACATTTAATTTGTATACATACTTTTAATTTGTACACATACGTATTAATTTAAGCATTAGGCATTAATTGTTTATTTTTTAGAAATATTATAAGAGGTAGAGATACATACAAACATAAAAATTAAATTTTACAATGTCCAAGAGTGCATGACAAGGTATGTTTGTCGAAAAATGTTTTTTCAGGACAAGTTTGATGTACTGCTTTCTCGCTTGTTAAAGTACAATAATAGTATGAATTGCAGTCTTTTGGATCCTCCCTAAGTCCAAATTTCGAATCACATAAAATATCTGAACTTTTCTCTGTTGAAAATGTTGTCTTATTTATGGAAGGTGTTTCCGTAGTATTATGTTCAGTTTTCGATAAGCAAGTACTGTTAACATAAATTTCACCAGGTGCACAACGATAAAGTGTGGGATATAAGTAATATTTTCCTCTATTATTTACTTCTGGTTGGCAAATATAAAATATGTTTGGGTTGTTCGGCCAAAAATGACTCTCACCAGGAAAACTACAAGTATACTGCTTTCTCTTACAAACATCATCTAATAGTGTTAGAGAGCAATCATTAGAAATTACTGAATAGGCCCGATTACCTTCACACCTTGCTGTACCAGCTAAAAAAAGTTTTATGTTATTGTATTTCAATTTCAAAATTTCTGGAATAAATCGAAGTATTTTAGGTAAAGCAATTTTGGTAATGATCGAAAATTTTTTCAGGTTTATAGAGTAAAATAGTACGAAGGCTAGTGTGAGGCTAATATTAAAGTTTTGATCTTTTATTTCAATTCTCTTAAAAGTAAATGAAATTAAAGAATAAGTTATATAAACAATATAAAAACTTAATCATTTATTCTTACCTATTGGTAAATAGTCTTGAGCATTTGGTTCCGCTTGATAACACATGTGATATATTTGACAATCGTATGGGTCAGGAAAAATTCCTATAAAATATAGATCATTTTGTTTAGTTCTATTGAAAATCTGTGTGTAATAAAATAAATTAAAATTTCTTTTTATAACATGAAACGACTGAAGCTTCGTATTTATACTGTATTAAAATATAGAAACCAAAAGGAATTCGATTTCAAAACTGATATACATACATATATACATATGTATGTGTATACTTAGTAATATTGCTAAAAACTCTAAGCAAAAACCGGCAATATCCTTAATTGATTGATTTCTCAATTAGATACCAGAATAATAGAAGGCAGCAGAAAACGATGTAAGTATTTGATATTTAATTAAATTTTCTATTTCGATGTTTCCATTAAGTGTTAGTATTTATCTATAAAAATGTGATAAGAAAAGTTTACCAAATACATAACAAAGAATAATATAGTATCTTAAGTACATTAACATAAAAATTGCGTTACCAAACAATAATATTTTTTCTATTTGAAAATTAATCTATTGTAGTAACATTTTGGTGCATTGGCAAATACAAAGCGATATCGCAATCTCTATTATAATAGCAGTAACACGGCAACACGGCACATGTAAATTAAATTTGTCTTATTTGAAATTCTGTCTGGTATAAGAAAGTTTTTAAAATCTTTTGTAATAAAGTTTGAGAAATAATACTTTGAATGATGACGTTTTCATTTTCTGTTTACAGTTTTTTCTGTTCGAGTATTGTAAAATAACATTTCAGGTCTGTCTATGTAAAATTTTTACATGGTATGTTTTCATGTAAAAAAAATATCTCACATTCATACATACATATTTCTCTTAATTTTATTGTAATTTCATCTTGAATAGATTTTATTTGCATTATAATAGATCTGTTTGGTATAAAACTTGGAAAAATTTAAAAAAAAGAAAACAGTGACGTTTTTTTCTACAAAAAAAAATTCTGATTAAAAAAAAAAATAAATGGACGGAAAACTTAAAAAAACTTTTAAAAATATAGGTAATGGACGTCAAATTTCAAAATATTGATCCAAAATAAAGAAAAACATATTCATACATAAAAAAGAACATGTGTTGTGACAGCTAAAAACACTAAATTTTACTTTACAAAACTTGAAAAAACTAAACATTTAGAAAACGAAGACGCATTATTTTCGTTAATTTTTTAAAAAGTATACCAGACGCTTTGCATACTAAAACTTTTTAAAGTTTTTTATGTTTTATAAAGTGTTTAAAAATTTATACCAGACGGTCCTAATGTATTATAATGAATTTTCAATCTTGGACAGAATTTCAGTGGTTTAAAATTTTTTAAAACCTTAAAAGTCTGTCGGGGTTCAAAGCAGTATAGAAAGTATTATAGCAGTATAGAGCATACTAAAACTTTAAATTCTACAACCTATTATTTTTATGTGAAACTTTTTTACCATCAGATGTGCATGGAAAATTTTCTTCATAACCAAAACGATTACATGGACCAGGAGCATCAGAGCATTTTTCTTCATAAATATTGCAAAACTGTCCTTCGCTAATATCGCATGGTTCAACTGGATATGTTTGCCAAATATTACTGATTTGTACACAAAACGCTAATCTGTCACAGTTTTCACATATCAGACCAGCCAATTTTCTTTCGGAGCATAAAGTTGTTTGACGGGGTTGTTTTATAACCCTATTGTATTTTTCACTATTTGCTGCAGCTATCAAAGCCTGAAATACATTACAATTTTTTTTAATACTATTTTATGATATTTGTTATAGAGCTTGTTTCAACGACGAAAGTAAATTATTATGGATGATTAGCGTACATTTACTAGGAAAATTTGAAAAAAATCTGTTTTCAGCATGCTCTCAAATTTAATATAACTATTAGGAAAAATAAGTTTTTTTGTATAAATTTTTTTTAAATAAAGCTTTATTTTTAAATTTGATACCACCTTCAAATAATTGTTATAGACAACTAACATCTTGATTCTTGTTAATTTCGAATTCATGTTTGATTAAAAAAAAGTTGAGATATGAAAAATATGTGTAACATGATAATGATAAAATTCCTTGACGTTCTTTCTAGATACATGAATAATTATAATAATGTGAGTAACAAAACCATCCTCTGATATAAAGTGTGATATACGTATGTAAATACTAAAACAAATATGAGTCAATTAAATTTGTCATGTGTAGTAATTATTGTGGTAGAGAAAAGGTCTACCAAAGTTTTTTAATGTTTCTTCTTAAGTGGCGTATTGTAGCTGAATTTTTTCAATTTTCTTGGTTTGTTTTCATGCAAACTAATTGAAAAAATGCAATGTATTTAAGAGTCGTATTTATTTATTCATTTTATTGTTCATTCCAAGTACAAGATGGGGAAAGCCGTATATTAAAATTTTAATTGAGAAACTGTGTTTAAAAACAATGGTTAAAATTTAGTGTTGTGATTTTGTTAGCAGGAACAAAAATTTGGTAAAGAAACTTTTAGATAATTTTTATATGCACATACATTTTTGTCAAAATATAAATACATATATAACTATATAAATCTTTTTTATAAGTAGTTCAATCTAGATTTACATCACACTAATGCAATCACTTACTAAATTTGTACCCAAGAATTCCCAAAAAAAAAAGAGGTATGTAAGCAATACAAACTCTGATTTTTATTTTCATGCACAAAAATTACTGGGAGAGCGCTAGTGTACGCAATAGATGTCTATCTGTTTTTATAATGTATTTTAAAAGGCGTTCAAAAGCATTTCTGTAATTTATTGCAGTACAAAATTGGTATTAAAAAAAATTAGTGTTAAAATAAAAAAATAGTTAAATATAATTTATATAATATTATTTTAAAAAATAATTTAAAAAAATAAACTATAATTTTTAAATTTAAACGAAATTTTTAAATTTGTAATTAACAAATGTAATAAATGGAGTAAATATAAATTATGAATTTTTTAGTTTTATTTCAATTCTGTTTCTATAAATTTAAAATGCATATTTCCTATGAATATGCTATTAATATAATTATAATTATATATGTATATTTCGTAAAGTGTGAATCAATATGCATACACATTTTTTTCTTTATAAATTGCTTTATTTCTTGTTCAATTTATCTATCACTTTCATACATTCGAACGTTTTTACCTAACTTTAATGGAATGAAAAGTAACATATTATGAAAAATAAATTTTGTCTTTATTAAAATATAATTAAGTAAATTTTTACGATGTAAAAATTTACTTAATTTTATTTAAAATTTACGAAGTTACATACACCTTCTAAATTTATACCAAAGTATATCTATTAATAAATAGTTCGACTCGTTCCATTCCGTTAGTTTTCGTTTGCATTCAAAATTCTTAAAATATTCCATTTTTAACACTTAAATGCTTAACACTAAAAATTTTTTGTTTTATATCAAATTGTTTTATAGTTTTATTAAAACTTTTTATTATGTGGTGAATTCTAATTCTCACGACTTTCATAGCTGAAATTATTTTTTAAGTATTCATATGTTTTACATTCTAAATTTTTTTCTGTACAAATATCATTAAAAGGTTTAATAAAAGTATTTTCTAAAATCTTTAAATTATCCATGAAATTCTTGGATGGTTTATAAAAAACTGTAAAATATTTTTTTTTTCACAACTATTTAATTTTTTTTTAATATTATACCTCTTTTTAAAATTTATTTTTCAAAATTATGTTATATAAATTATAATAATTTTTTTAAACATTTTTTTTCCGCTTCGCTTTTATAATATGAATACACCTTTTTTGCCACCTTGTACTGGAAATGATTGTGTCGCTTTTAAAATTCTTAATATTTTTCCCTATACTTTATATACGAGCAAATAATAAAGTGTCGCCTTTCAAAATACATTATAAAAAAACAGGTTGACATCTATTGCGTACTCTTTTCCTCTCCCAAAAATTCTTATGTGTATGAAAATGGAAATAAAAAGGTATACTACTTTACTCATTTAACTAAGGGAATTTTTTGTATACAAATATTGGTGAGTGATTGCATTAGTGTGATGTAAACGGAGAGTTCAACTACTTATTAGTAGATATACTTTGATAAATAGTTCGACTCGTTTCATTCCGTTAGTTTTAGTTTGCATTCAAAATTCTTAAAATATTCCATTTTTATTTAGAAATAGATGGTAATAAAAGTTGTGTAGGCAAGCAAGAAACAAAATATTGTAAACAAACATTGTATCAAAAACATTGAACTGAAATAAAATTGAATAAAGTTAGGTAAAAATTTTGTTATTTTTATTTTGATAACAAAATTTTTTTAAATTTTTTCAAATATTTTATTTTTCTTTTCATAAAAGTTAGGTAAAAACATTCGAATGTATGTTATGGAAGTAATAGTTATAAATTTAAAATTTCATACTTTGTTATAAGGTACATACCTATTCAAGGTATGTTTTATGTTCTATTATTATTGTCTATATATAAACGTTACTTGATTTGAAGCCGGCTTCACTCAAGTCGCTTACTTGATTTGAAATTTAATGGTTAAACGTCGTTTTTGGCCCTTGTTCTCGAGTTATGGGGCCACAAAATTGGAATATGCGAAAATTGACTAATTTTCATATTTTTAATTATAACTCAGGTAAATCAAACTTTGTATACTTATTTTAAAGCTAATGAAATCATCCTTCTAGCGGTATACCAGGATTTGCAAATACTTTTTTAGTTTCAGTTATTTTAACAAAATTTTCGTTTAACCGTCATTTACTCATAATTCCACGTTAGTAATCTGTTGGTATTTTTACATGAAGAAGAGCCCCATATTATGACCTTCATTTCTGAAAAACTGAAGGCAAAACCTTAGAAAATTAACTATAACAAAGTAATTTTCAAACAAAAGCAAATTTTTTTAATCTTTATTACGCAGTATAAATATGGGTACTAAATTATTCTCTTTCTTTAATTGCTTTTTTTTCTTTTATTGCTCATAAACTGAAGCTGAAAAGAAAAAAAAAGATTTTAATTAGTTAATATTTTTGATTTGCAACTTTGATTTTTTCAAATGCGTTTTTTTGAGTTTCTAGCTCTTGATAGTCGATTCGCTTGGATCTACCGGAAGAATCCATAGGTTTTCTTCGTGTAACAGAACGAAATGTATTACTACATTGGTCTACTGCTATGTTTACTAATTCTTTAAGGAATAGTTCCTTATAGAAAAATATTTTAAAATTTCAATTATTACATTTTAAAATTTCAAATATTGTTGAATGTACACGTTCTACTGCCTAGTTTACCTCGTTTTTCTGGGGTGGGGTGAAGTATACCTCTATTCCAAATGCTTTGAAGTGGTCTGTTACTATGGGACTTGTAAAGCTGGCTTCGCTACCCATTACGATCGTTCTTGGTCTATTATAGAAATGTATAATGTTAATTAGCTTGTTTCTAATGTTAAGTATGGTTTTATCTTTAATGTATAAAAATTTTTTTAACTTCGAAAATTCATCTATAAATTTTCATTTTTTATCAAGATAATGTCTGTGAACTATTTCTCTTGGATATGATGGTATAGGTGTTCGCACGTTTGGGTGAAGTTTCTAATCCGTGATACCAAGGTTGGAAAGTAGTACTTCTCTAGGATTTGGTCTTTATATTCTCTGTGGTTCCTGTGAGCTGTGTTTCTTGTATAACTGTGTAAATATTTCTTTCTCTACTAATATCTTGTACCATTCTCTGCGAAATTCTAATTTTATAGTTTGACAAGTATTCTGTATTGAGTTCCTGTAAACGCTGAGTGAACTTCTCTGGGATTTTAATTCCGTTTGTTATAGTTGATTGTAGTTTCTCTTTTAGTGCGTTCACAGATTTTATTTGTTTATATTTGGTAAGCTGATATAATGTCGATGATATGTTGCATGTGGCGTTTCATAAGTTTCACGTTCTTTGCTTTGTGCGATAATTATTTGATTTATTGATACGTTTCATGGAGCTTCGACATGTGGAATTAAGTTGGTGCTGTTTTCGTCTACACTGTTAATTTTTTCGCCTGTTGAAGTTGATATTGCGTTTACTTCAGTTGCTAGTCTCGATAAGGCGTGTGCGAGTTTGTTCGTTTTTATTTTTGCTTTGACATTTGTTTTTATAATTTCTGCATTATTGATTGGTTCAAATATTTCCTTGTATTGGTTTACTAATTCTAAGGTTTTGTTTTAGAAGGATAATCTGCTCTGATTTTGATATTATTTGCCTGAGCTGATGTTTTTGACTTTAGTGGTATTTTTATATTTTGAAGTTTTTTTACGTGTCGTCGCCTGTGATGCCATCGAATGTTCTTAGTCCTGGAAGGATAACAATTCGATGAAAGTGTTATTTCTTACTGCTTGAAAAAGTTTTTCCTCCATTTTCTTTGTGATACGAATGCCTCCTTGAGTTTATCGGGTTTAGCGAAATTCTCGTTCTAAACCGATTCTCGTTTGATACGAGATCAATGAGGAATTTCAATGTTTTATTGTCTTTGGTTCGATATGAAGAGGCTTCCGTCATAAAATTTCCCCTTGCATTTCTTCTTGTTATAGTTCTTCCTGAAAATCTGGATGTTCAAAGTCATACTCTTCGACAATACTTTCAGAATATTCATTAAACGTTTCTACATTGAACAGCCTTTAAATTTTGTTACCCTGGTAGAAGTTTGTACTTAGTGGTCTTTTCTGTGGCTCCATTTGCTTATATGCTGGCCTATTCATTTCCATTTTTCGAGGGGTTTTGGTGGTGTTGGTGGAGGTATCGCTGCTTTATGATGTTGCGTATTATGTGTCGCGTTTTCTTGTTGTGCTGTTAGTACCTACTGCTCATAGAAAGTTTGTTCAGCTTGTGGTGGTGTTGGAATAACTTGTCATGCTCTATTGTAGGACATCCTGTGTTACTTGGTTATAGCTATTTCTTTTGTGTATGTTAAAATTTCTGTAGCTATAGTTTTGTAATTCTAAACATGTTGAGTAGGTTTCTGTGCGCGTTT